ATGTGAGAGAATGTCTTCAATCTGAGCTGAATAGCTCTTAGCGAAAGTTTGACGTCAAAGGAAAGTGAAACACTGAGGCCACAGGGGTTGTCTTCAAAATCAATATTCGAACGTGGAGGTCACATGACAACTGTTTAAAATCAATAGGATCTTCTGCACAGAATCTCCACCGGTCATGTGCGACATTAGGGCATCTTCCTTTATGCTGCTGTCAATTCAACATGATTTAATAAAAAAAAATGAACACAGAGTACAGTGTCATGTATTTCATTTCGTCGACCAGCTAGGTCTTGCCATACAGGGTATTTCAGTGAATAATAATTTAACGTCGCATCGGCATTATTTCAGCCATATAGCGACAGGGTAGTAAGACAAAAAAATACTTCACTTTGATACGTCATATCATGTTTCATGTGTCATTGGATAAACCCATAATGTAAGGAGGAGGTAGTTACTGGCCCTTTCTGGTTCAACTGACGTGTCAAATATTGGTATTGAATTTCCATGAAATTATGAGACATGTTCAAATGGCTGACAACTTACAGTTTTTGTTTGTACATTGCAAGTTTTGGACTTCCGACATGATCAAATACATACGTGTGGATATAATGTTTTTGAAAAGGTCGATTTTTAAACTTCAAATAAAAAGCTATGACCCAAGATGGTTTTATGACAATAGATTTGTAGTGTTTGATGTACATTTCCTCAGAAAATCAGCTTGGATCAAACACTTGTTCATGTTCAAAAATTATATAACGCGTCCTTCTGAAAACCTTAATAAATCAGCCTTTGTCCTCACTTTAGGCTTGTTTAGTGAGACTTAACATTCTCCCAAAAGTACATTTGTTTAAATGAACTAATATGAAAATGTCTGATACGTTTCCTAAAGATTCAGGTGGCACGGGTGGCACAGTAGTCTAAGGCGCCGCGATTCGCTGTGCAGAGTTGCGTCCCTTGGGCACGCCAGAAGCCTATGATTGTGGGTTCGAATCCCGGTTCATCCCGATTATGTGTCTAGGTTTGTCTGCACCATGCCCGTACTCGTGGGTTTCACCGAAGTGGTAAACGTCTGAAACCTGCATCACTTCGGGCTGACACGCCGTGATATAGCTGGAATACTGTTTAAAGCGGCGTTAAACATAACTCACTCACTTCTTAAATATTCAAACACTTACTTTTGTATGCAAAGTGTGTGTGGGGTGAGTGTTACGCGTGGAGCAGGAGATATTTACCCTTCTCATCACTGACTTTCAATGATGTATTCCTATAATTTTCATCACTTTTTTGCCTTTTACGCCCAAAAGAATCGGCAGATAATCGAGACTGATTGTTCTATTGCTCTGACGTTTTATGTTAAACTGTGCATACACAAGGTCCCAATCAATCCTTGTGAATGAATGAATCAATCAATATTTACGTCACATCGGCAGTATTTCAGCCATATCGTGACGAAACTATCCTTCTGAAAACGTTTAAAATGTCTTCAGTTCCAACTAGAATTTATATTATATAAGGGACTCCTTGAGGAATTCACATGAATGCAACATACATATTACAGGATGAACAAACATCAGTGTTTAAATTTTGCCTGTCTATATACAGGGGCGGTCGGGTAGGCTAGTGGTTAAAGCGTTCGCTCGTCACGCCGATACCCGGGTTCGATTCCCATTTCTGGTGTCCCCCGCCGTGATATTGCTGGAATACTGTTAAAAGCGGCGTACCATACTCACACACTGTATATATATACAGAGCATTGAGATCACAATATGCTGAAATATTGTATTGATATTGACGACAAATGTCTAGACATGTTTTTTTTATGATAAAACGCTGATTACTTCAATATTATTTTAATTTTAATCCCAAGTACAACTTCTTCTACTTCAACAAAAGTCGAGGAAGACGAATCTCCATTAATTCCCAGTTGTAGGGTTGGTTGATGAATACACATTAATATGTGCTGGAAATGAGTAATAACGCGGTGTTTTTGAGACGCAATAATCAACGGTTCCCAGACAGTAAAACTGGTTACGCTTCCAAGGGATCATGCAAAAGAAACGCCGACGATGAATTGTTCCCCATTACAACCGTCGCATTAATTACATGACCAGAGTTTCGACAATCAGACATTCCATTCGGGGCATAAATAGCATGGAGACAGTCCGCGCACACACACCCGATCCCCTAAATTGCTTCTGTACATTGCTGTGAATGCTTATTGTGGATAAACCACGTCAACTAGCTGGGATGTCTCGTCCCGCAGGTTTCACTGGCGAGGTTGCAATTTGTGATGCTACTTCAATATTTCCGCCCGTGCCCCTTGGTAAATAACGTGACAAGCAACAGTTATAATTTATGAACGCGCGTGATTAAGAATGGGATACGGTAATGTTTCTTCTGACTCAATCCACGAGCATTTTTGTCTGGGTTTTTATTTCATTTTATAAAGTTTATAAGATGTAAACTGTAAGAATAGTACGTGTTAATAAAAATGCCATCGGACCATACATTGTGTGTACGTGAATTGTATACAATCGTAAATTTTGTAAATGTTAATTTGTATTCTTAGATGTTGAGATACTGGATAGAATTCGTGTGTGACTCGTCTTCATCACAGAACAAGATCGATCAACTCATATACGACACAACTCGTTGAGCAGAGATGCGTTCCTTGGTAACCCGGGCTTTCTTGCTGTAGGTTCGACTCTCAGATTCCTAATAGGAAATTTAAATCAACATTTTTAACTGGAACATGTATTGTCATATATTTGTAGCTCCTTTTATTCCGAAACATATCCTGACAAACATGTGGCATTCCTTTCATACTTCTTGACCAAGTTGTTATGTGGCATCTTTGCAGATGAAGTGTTGTCACAGTGTTTAAAACGACCTGAAATTGCGAAAGTTACCTTCGAATTCACTGCATCGGCTGGTGCAATGGGAATGCCGAAATAATTACGTAATTAATTTATTTCTCGTGAGAATTACAAGCAACAAGAAGTAGAAATACGTGTAGAAATTAGCGTACAAACATTGGTCCAAGATGCATGTAGTTGACGGAAACACGCATTGATTCCTTTCTAGCAGTTACGCCCACTGTAATCGATAATAAACAGACACGAGCACAACCCCAACGTATGTTTTCTTATAGAAGTGTTGAGGCTGTTTGTTTTCCAAACTAATTTCCCCATCACCAGTATGTGTTATATCACATCAACATATCATCTCATCAAGTGGAGTAAAACTCAATTAAATGGAATGGTATCATACCCAGTAAAACCCAGAATAAATTTTGTTCTAGATTAACGCACCTTTGTCAAAAAATAAAAAGATCCAAAACACTTGTTAACTTCGATGAAATGTCGTTCCTCTAACCTGATTGTTGATACATATATTTCAAGGTGTTGTTTTTTCATCTTCATCTTCACCATAACACGTAAATTAAATACATGTATTTCAACGTGTTGTTTTTTATCTTCATCTTCATCATTACACGTAAATTAAACACATATATTTCTAGGTAGGTTTTTTTTCATCTTCAGCTTCACCATAACACGTAAATTAAATACACATATTTCAAGGTGTTGTTTTTTATCTTCATCTTCATCATAACACGTGAATTAAACACAGTCATATATTTCTAGGTAGGGTTTTTTTCATCTTCATCTCCACAATAACACGTGAATTAAATATATATATATATATATATATATATATATATACATATATATATGTCAAGGTGGTTTTTTTTATCTTCATCTTAACCATAACACGTAAATTAAAAATATATATTTCAAGGTGTTGTTTTCTACCTTCATTTTCACCCTAACACGTAAATTAAATATGTATATTTCTAGGTGTGTTTTTTTTATCTTCATCTTAACCAAAGCACGTAAGTATGCATCGAACCAATATCATGCACTCGCTGAGGATAAACCACCACTACCGTTGTGGTTATTGAATTCCCACGAACAGACAAACTATTTAATCGCTTTAACTTGTTACAACATCTAATCAAACGGATCCAGCAGAATTCAAGCACGAAGGACGAGCTATAACGATATTAACTTTCAGTGGTACACAACATCGTTTCAAAAATTTATCGGACTGTTTCAGTCCGTAGATACTTAAGTTGATCAACTGGCTTATATCCCAATTCTTGAACAAAACCTAAATGGAGCAGTTTAGTTATCACGTACATATACAGGTCAATTCCGAACATATCTCCCGCGTCCCTTCAACATCAGAACGCTATATTCGCAGACAATAACGCCAATTGCTAATGGTTGGGGAGTAGAATTCAGTCCGTTTTCAAAAGTCGATTTCGTTTAATCCGAAGTCTGAGTAATCGTGTCTTTGTGAGGAGAGCAGAATGGTTTACTGAATAGGTCCACCACAGCCCTACACATGGCACGTTAGCCTGTGCATTGATTTTGTCTTGTGCCAACTACATGCTGAACGCAACAATTACTTGTGACAAGAACCATACACTTTGCTAGCCTCGCCATTAAGTGGAGCAGATCCACAAAACCTAACATAACAAGATTTATTACGCCTTAAAGCTGACATGGAAATAGCTATACAGCCTCAGCTGATGCATAAATTGCAGGTTGCTGATCTCAGCTGTCTTACAATGCCTATAATTGGCATAATAATAAGTATTACTGTTACAGAAGGTCCTCTATTTTGTTATTGATGTCTTGACGCACTTGAACACATGTAAGCCTGCATCGTTATATCGTTAAACCCATTTAAATGAGAGCTTAAGTGAGTGCATGTTGCTTTCCGACCGGTCCAGCTACATCAATACAACCATCATATATAAATTAATATGAGGTGAGATGCACTCGTGCACAGTAGCAGATATGTTAAGAAATTTACAAAATAATTACACAACACGGATTACACAACACAATCCGTGTTGTGTAATTATATTGTGAATTTCTTAACACACACATATATATATATATATATATATATATGAAAATATATATACTCACCAACAAAAAGAAACGCACATGTGGTTTTCAAGAGACGAAATCTGTGACTTTTACAAGGCTTAAAGGCAATGCGCGGGACTTGTGGTTACAAATTGACACAGGATTCATCAAACGTTAACGTTGAAGTCTTTGTATGCGACGGTCATGTAACTTTCTCAAGCACGGCATGCAGTCGTAATGCCTAGTGCCGTTTGTGTCCTCCATTGGATTGACTGTACGATACCTAATGCCCATGGAACCATGAAGCCTGCGACACATTGTGGATTGGTAGTCCACTTTTCCTGAAGAGTTTGGCATAATTGCTGCGGCATCTGTGGTCCCGGTTGTCTAGTCCATCCCACTGATGCTCATTTGGGTTGGGACCCGGTGACAGTGACGGCTACGACATTACGTTCATGGTCTGAGCTCTTGCGAAATACGTTTTGACTCGCGATGTGTGGTGAAGAGATTGTAATGCTGGAAAATTGGCTTGTGTTTGCAGAGCGTGGACAACGTGAGGACTTAACACATCGTCATGTTAAGTTGCCCTGGATATGAACAATATCTGTTCTTCGTCCATAAGTCATGGCACCCCACATCATGACACTTCCTCCACGGAATACGTCGACTTTATGTTCGCGGGATAGGCTCATTTTGTCATCCATACACACGGATCTGCCCATCTCTCCGCGGAAGGAGAAAACAAGATTTATCACTAGTCAGTATGGCAACGTTGTTGAATCCCCGATGGTGAAGTCGACACAACTGCAGCCGCTGAAGCCGAGGTAAAATAACGCCTTCTTGCTCTGCACGGATTCCGGCAGTTTGAAACCTGTTACTGTCATCCTGTGCAGATATGGCGCGTAAACCAGTGAGTGTCCTGTTTCGAAAGCGAGGGGCCCGAATGTTGTGTCCTGGGTCTTTGTGTTGATGGTCGCCCTAATCATGGATGATCTCTGGTAGGGGCATGTTGCCGATATCGTGTGCTCTGGGAAACGTGGAAATGCATTGCCACTACTGCTTGTAATTCACCATCTTCACGTCCACCAGCGGTGTTATTTTTCAAATTATTATTGCGTAAAGGCATGACGATTTTTAAAATAGACGGTTTTATATATTTGTTGTTTTCATGCTGTCTCGGAGATACACAATGATTTTTATCTTCTACGCTTTGACATCATTATCAAATTTGTAATTAAGCAATTTAAACATACGTTAACAACACAAGGTTTATTTAACCAATAAATCAACATGGCAGTTGTCACAGTAGCGACCGCCTCCGTGGTCTTGTGGCAGAACAACAAGCAGAGAGCGGGAGGTCAGAGGTTCGATACGATGCGTTGGGTATTCATGCCATGTTGCGGATGTTATCTAAGAGGCCTAGCACAATAAAATTGGCATTAGTCCGGACAAGTACAAGCAGCCACACACACACACGCCCAATTTCACCTCACCTCAGCTTACAGTAGCTATTGTTCTGCTTGAAGGTCGAAGTAACCTACGGTTAGATACCTGTCATGTGTGATTGTCGTTCCTCTGACCTGATATATCCTGTTAACATACATGTTTATGTTAGGCCCAAGGGAAAACAGGGTTAGCTCGACCCAATGACCTCCACTGCTTAACGGTACAGCAGTGAGGATATAATGTTTTTTTCTAACGGTAGTACTTACCGGTGACGGGTTCAGAATTAAAACTTTACACGCTGTGACAGATTTGGTTCATGACACGCAAAGCGAAGCAGATATTTCTCGTGTATCATACGAAGACTACAGCGTATCATTACTACACCCCTACTATTACAAGCGCGAACACAAAAAGGGGGTACATTGCTCGCATAAAACACTTTCATTATTCCACATTACAAAGGGGCCCGTAGTCCTGCACCATGACTGTGGAATATATTTATATATATATAGAAACGTACATAAAAGCAAGTCTAGCCAGCTCTAGCTAGCTACATTCCGCATCGGGAAATTATTTTTTGTATTTGTCAAGAAAGGTATTTTGTAATATAAGATTTCATAGACTAAATGTTAGTCTACGGGGCCCGTGAAGATCCGGGTTAGAATTGGTCCTGCTTTTCGTAAGAGGCGACTGTGCTTGCCGTAAGAGACGACTAAGGGGTAGGATAGTCAGGCTCGTTGACTTGGTTGATACATGTCATCGTATCCCAAATAAGTGGATCGATGTTCATGCTGTGAATCATTGGATTGTCTGGTCTAGGCTCGATTATTTAAAGACCGCGGTTTTGAGCTAGAATATTTTTGAGTGCGGCTCAGAACAGAACCGAACTTCACAAATTGATGGGTGAGAGGGTTGTACTTAAGCATCTCAACTCGCTGTGCGGAGATGGGTCCTATGGCTGTGCCAGAATACTGTAATCGTTGGTTCGAATCTCATGTCTAACTTATAAGATATATTGAATATGGTCACAGAGTAGACTTTATTAGACATAGATCTTTAAAACAAATCACAGATGTGCAAATGTATACTTCAATACGATATTCAGATTAAAATCATGATAGTACTGTGACGTCATCGCCTAGATCACGCTGTCAAAGTAACTATGGTTCATACCTTTTGTTGCAACATGTCGTGACATGACTGTTGATTAATCGTCGTTACATATAAAACCCGCTTCCTTGACCAAATCTATAAGTATCGACAGTTAACACTATATTGTTAATATGACATGTCAACGCCAGAGAATAATAAGTCTCGATGAACCAACGAAACAGATTCCATTTGGCGTAAAAGGCAAAATAGTAGTGAAAACTATGTAAATGGATTACTTAAAATCAGTGTTGACACCAGATGTTCGCTACAAGGGTAAGCATGTCCTGACCTATCCGCAGCGCCCACCATTCCCAACATGTGTTTGTTGCCTGACGCCGCAGAGTGGTAGTCCTGCCATGCGACGGGGCATACATGGCGTGGAAGACACGACGCGGCACACGCGACGGGGAAAACACGACGGGGCACACGCGACGGGGCATACATGGCGTGGAAGACATGACGGGGCACACGCGACGGGGAAAACACGACGGGGCACACGCGACGGGGAAAACACGGGGAAAACACGACGGGTCACACGCGACGGGGCATACACCGCGGGGCATACACCGCGGGGCATACACCGCGGGGCATAAACGACGGGGCACATACGACGGGGCACAAACGAAGGGGGATTCACGAAGGGGCACACACAGAGCATAAACGACGGGGCACATACGACGGGGCACAAACGAAGGGGGATACACGAAGGAGCACAAACGGAGCACACTAGACGGGGCATACGCAATGGGGACACTCGACAGGGCATACACCGCTTGTAAACTCGGGGCACACACGACGTTGTATACACGGGGCACAAACGACGTTGTATACACGGGGCACACACGACGTTGTATACACGGGGCACACACGACGTTGAATACACGGGGCACACACGACGTTGTATACACGGGGCACATACGAAGTTGTATACACGCGGCACATACGACGTTGTATACATGGGGCACACACGACGTTGTATACACGGGGCACACACGACGTTGTATACACGGGGCACATGCGACGTTGTATACACGGGGCACACACGACGTTGTATACACGGGGCACACACGACGTTGTATACACGGGGCACACACGACGTTGTATACACGGGGCACACACGACGTTGTATACACGGGGCACACACGACGTTGTATACACGGGGCACACACGACGGGGCACAAACGAAGAGGCATTTACGAAGGGGCACACGCGAAGGGGCATAAACGACGTGGCACACACGACGGGGCACACATGACGGGGTACACACGGGGTATATACGACATTCCGAGTTTCGCAATGAACAAAATCACTTACCAGCTGACTCCTTTGCAACGAGTTGCAGAAATAGATAGCGGAAGTTGTTAGTTCTCCACTGGGTCTACAGACACATTTTACAAGTAAACAGACAAGACAGTTTTATGGTTTGACATATTAACGGTCACTTACAAGGTGCTTCACCAAGTACGCACTTCTTGTTAATGGCTTAAAATGGTGTACAATGTTTAAAAACATAGTGTCACTCTTCGTGTTTGTAAATATCATAGAATTTCTGGCCAAAAACTGCACAGCACAAACTGTTCAATATAATTAAAAACATATTTTCGGATACTTACAAATGAGATGCCTATCTATCTGGCAAGCCGTATTTATTTTTGAAAAAGGTTACACTCTTGACTATAACCATTCATAAACTTCGAAATGAATCAGATTTGGGTTTTTTTAGCATTCAGTTGAGTGAATGTCGTGTTACAATTTGCTTCATAGCAGTTTTATTACGATGACTTGTCGGCAACCGAGGGCCATACAAACCAGTGGTTGATATTATGAACACCATCTAACAAAATCGGGATACAATGGTTCACAATAAGCCAGGGCTCAAACAATAGCAATTCAATCCCTATCGTATCGTACGACATGCGTTCATGACTGTTTGCAATGGGTTGTGATTAATCCGGTTTTGTTGTTTTTTGTTTTACGCCACAATCAGCAATATTCCAGCTAAAAGACAGCGAGCGGTCTGTCTAACCAACCACAAGCGCAAGTACAGGATCATTCTGTTAGTTTGGATCCTGTCGGTCCTATGTCCACATGTTTAAACCACTGTATCAATGATTCGATCCAGACACGTGTTAATCTGGACAGAACAATAGATGTTTAATCAAACAGAAATATATTGTCCTGTTTATAATTAGTTTCATTTAATGCCCTCCTGGCAACCAAGGTATGATCAGCTCTGCAGATTGTTGCATCTGTAAACCAGTTATATGCCCATTAACAATTAAAGCAATTATAGTAGGTTTTAAACGTGCATACAGTCAGCAATTTACGAATAGAAATCGTCATACTTATGGGTAGGCACAGTAGGTAATGGCCTGATATAGCGATATGTATAGCCAGATAATGGAAAACATATAGCATTTACAATTAGAGCAGAAATTATTTTTGTGTTAATGCGTTCAGTTATCACAGACACGAAAGGAAGCAAATATACATTAACGTGTATGGGTGTGTACATTACGTCGGATAATCGACCATAGAGCAACAACTGGAACTGCATATCAAGCTGACGAGCAATGCAGTTCATGTTCAATGGACCATTAACCATTAACCAAGGAAACAGATTGTACCGATGGAAGCGTTTGCGTTCCCCAAAGAAACAGCTAAAGTAGAAGAATCGCCACGGAAATGGTACTCGAAGGATGCGACTTTTAGCTTTGACACAGATTTGAAATATATACTGTAAATACACACACATGTTATATAAGATAATGTCTATATCCCATGGCTTCATCTTTCGCTGCAAGTGATAGTGATGTGATTTTGAAGCATATATGCCATTGTGTCATAAGCTCACCACATCGCCATCATCTGTGTTTGTTTGTTTGACAATGGCTGTTTGTTTATTGTTTAACGCCACAATAATCAAGCCATATGACGGCGGTCTCTAAATAATCGAGTCTGATCCAGACAAGCCCGTGATTGACATCATGAGCATCGATGTCCGCAATTGAGATACGATGACAAATGCATCAACCAAGTCAGCGAGCCTGACCACACGATCCCGTTAGTCGCCTTTTACGACAAGCATGATCGCCTTTTACGGCAAGCATGGGTTGCTGAAGACCTATTCTACCAAGGATCTTCACGGGTCCCATCATTTGTGATCGTTATCAGTCATCTGAATACCGGGAAAACGCCCACATATATACAGTCACACTTGTGACAAATAAAACAATTAAAAATTACACAACGAAACCTGCAACAAAGGCAGTGGAATAGCCTAATTATTCAAGTGTTTGCACGTCAGACACAGAGTCGATTACC